CAATTCTCCTTCCCTACTTATTTTCTTGTCACTGGCACTAGAAAGATTCTTGACTTTTCTTGATGAGGGGCATTTTATTTTCAATATGAATGCAAATGTTTCAATGTATCCCTGACATTGCCTTTATTTTTAAGTGAGATAGAGAAAGAAAAAATCATCTACAGAGAGGGCGCAGGAAACAGGCTTCAGGAGTTAATAGATAATGAGGTTTGTGTAGTTCTCCTGAGCAATGGTTGAGCAAGTTGCCTGCAGAATGTAATCACATTTTCTTACCAAATTGAGGCCCTTCAAGGTCAGCTACAAGAAAGAGCCATAGCAATGTAGAGGGACAAGGGATTGTGGAGGTATTTGCAAGAAAACAAAATTCTGGACCAGAAGTAACAGCCACGTAGGAGGAGTGTGAAGGAAAAAAGGCCTCTAACCTGCTGCATTCCATCACTACTATTTACTAACAGGCTACCTCTGCATGGAAACCACTGAACAAGAATTTCTAACATAGAATCCTCCCAGATAGGCCTGCACTGGCTATCACCAAAGAATACAGATCATTCTAGCTTCATAAAATTCAGCTGCTCAGGTTTTCTGCTATTCTCTGGCCCCAGCAAACTACTTGTTATGAAAATGAGAATTTCAGGTCTTCCTATGTTGTGAGTGCCAGTATTTTCAGGTTTGTGCAATTGGTTAGGAGACTGTTGAGTTTCCACTGGGGCAAAGAAAGCAGTGGATTTGTGATCTTTAGATTATTTCAGTTACTTTGAGCATTTATTTAGGCATTACAGTATCCTTCCTATCACCCACTCCCCTTCGTCCCTGCGGGGCTGGAATTAACCACTCCGTCAGTCAAATGGCATGGTCTTGCTTGTGAAGACCAGAAAAGATAATCTCATCCAGTTTCCTAAACTGGGTGTTTGGTTATGACCCACCATTTGCAAAATTTATAATTTTTGTTGAAATGTTGCAGAAAGACCTGATTCTCTTCTTCTCCAAGGGTGTTTGCATCTACATTGCTGTAGTGCCAGTTTTATGCTGAGGAGAGCCCTTACAATGTCAAAGCCAATGTCAGGAAGGGGAGAGCTCAAACAATGGAAGTCAAACCACCTATATCATGCCCAATCTGTCCTTGCTCCTGAATTGCTAATCTCATGGTTCCAGTAAACTGTTTCAGATATCAAGCCACTCTCAGTGGGATTTTCACTTACTTAAACATATCTTAACCTATCCAAGCAAAATTCCTGACCTCCATGTTATCTGTCCTTGTCTTTCTGTCTCCCTCCCTGGCTCTCTCTTCTCTTCACCACACTTCTCCTTTTTTTTCCTCTCCTCTTTCCTCCCTAAGGGTCTGCAGTAGAAGTATAAACACTTGGTATTAATTTTATTTGTTTGTTTGTTTGTTTGTTTTTGGTACCAGAATTGAACCATGAGCACTTAACCAGTGAGCTCATCCCTAGTCCCCATCCCTTTTTAAAAAAGTTTTTCTTAGCCTTTTTGAAAAATATTTTATTTAGAGTCAGGGTCTCACTGAGTTATTTAGGGCCTCACTTCGTTGCTGAGGCTGGCTTTGAACTTGTGATCCTCCTGCCTCAGCCTCCCACCCCCCCCACACACACACACACACTAGGTTTGGTCCTGATTTTAAGTAAACAACATCTGGGTATGTGTCAAAGGTGTTATTCACCTCCAAGCTCCTGCACCAGAAATCCTTTCTTAAAAGAATTATATGGTAACAGTTTAAACAAGAACAATATCAACTCCATGAGACAAAGTTAACCCAATGGAATGAAGAGTATCTTTCACAAAAGAGCCCACACTGGAATGTGCACTCTGCATGCTGAGCTCTGTGGTCTCGCTTTAAGTGGGTGTGAATTCCACCGTCTACAGCTTCAAAGCAAAGGAGCACTTTGTAATTTGCCTTCTCTTGCCTGTCCTTTCAAATTGTGTCTACATGGGTAAGCTGAGAGCCCTTAGTGTTTTATCTATAAAGACACCAGAATTGAGATGTGACAATTTTCCTATCATGGTCTTTCTATCATGAAATCAGGTTAGTAGTTTCTGTCCAGCATTTAAAAAAAACAAACACATGACAGAACATTTATGAAATGGAACAGACTGGAGAACAGAACAGAACAGAACAGATATGGGGTGGATATAAGGCAAATTGTTTTGTGACACCTTTGATCCATTTGTGTGCATGTATACTTGGTCCCTATGTGGAATGCATCCTCATTGGAAGTCTCACTCAGTAAACTCAGGAAGATGCTCCCTATGGTGTCTGGTTCTCTCTTGGTATTGCTGCCACTCTCTACTTGAACTTGATCCCTGGGTTACCTTCCAAAGGGCCTCCTCCTATTTCACAAAGACTCCTCAGCCTCTGTCTAGGGAAAAGAATCCAGTGATATCATTTGGGCAGGATACTCAAAGGGGAGAGCCTGGGGACAACTGCATCCCAGGCTGTGTCCTGATGATCTCTCCTGGTTGGTGATGCTTTCTGTTGCATTTTTTTTTTAAATATTTATTTTTTAGGTGTAGTTGGACATGATACCTTTATTTGTTTTTATGTGGTGCTGAGGATTGAACCCAGGGCCTCCCACTTGTTAGGCAAGCGTGCTACCACTGAGCCACAATGCCAGCCCTCTGTTGCATTTTTAATTTGGATTATTATTTTCTTCATTTTGATGATTTCTGCTTCACTTCTTTTCAGAATCTCTTCTTTATTGAAATGATCACTTCTTTATTAAAGTGATCTTTTCAATCACTTATTTCCTCCCTGATTTCATTCCTTATACCGTCCTTCACGTCACAGATCAGTTTAACTATGTACATTCTAAGTCCTCCTCTGACATTTCTTCCATCTTAGTGTTGATGGATTCTGTTATTGGAGCATCTTGGTTTGCTTGGGGCAATTTGTTCCCTTGCTCTTTCTTGTTGTTTTGTGTTTCTACCCATTTAACAGTATGGATCTGAGGAAGTAGAGTTTCTACCCTGTAGACTTACAACGTCCCTGAAGGTTTCCATTACATCATTGTTTAGATAGAAACAAATAATAACAACAACCAATGAAAATAACATATAGCATTAAAACAAATAGTTATTCGATGATATCGTCACTGTTGATTATCACAATAAACATAAATGATATGATTAGTTATTTTCTACAGTAGAACAACAAGTTTGCAAAAGGTTCATAATTTCAAATGGTAGACAGGGAGAGAACAGAAATGATATAGGACGTGATGGTTATGAGAGAAGAGAAGAAAAGATCAAAGTAAAATATTAAAGGAATAGTAAAAGAGAGAATCAAGGGAAACAGGTAGGTAGTAGAAAAATATATATAAATAAAGTAAAATTTTTTAAAAAAATAAAAATAAAAGAATACAACACAAAACTAAAATACACTAATCAAACATCCTAGTTCACAAAAAGCAAATCCATGAATAATAACTAGCTTCAGAAATGTTAGAAATTATAAAAAAACAAATATGATGATATATAAATGTACATGTACCATCAAGGTCACAATCAAACAGGGAAAAGAAGAAAAGAAAAAATCTTGATGAAAAGCAAGAGAGGGGGTGTTGCAGGATCTTTAACATTTTTTGACATAAAGAATGATCTCAGACATTATGCAAACAGGTAGCTTACAGTTTAACATGAAGCATACTACATTCCTTTTGGTAATGTCATATATTATGGAGTTATATTTTTTGATGGTTCCCATAATATTACTATTGGGCAAATATTACTGTGGAATAAGAAAAGGGGATAGCACTGGCCAGTTCCTGTTCCAGTGTTTGAAAACTCACACAGAGCACAACAGGTGTACATATTCTGTTAGTAAGGAACTAGCTAATAATGAAACAATATTTTTCAAATTGTGTGCATTTTTAAACAGTTGCTAAGTTGTTAGGATACAAATACTTATTAAACTGATGCAACCTATCTACTTAATATACATAAATGCTAGGTATTTCTTTGGGCCAGGATGCTGTGAAATAATGATTAAGACCCTAAATTTGAATAAAAGATGAATAAAAAAAATAATTGGGGATGACTGATTTACATCCTTCTCATCTGCATTTTTTTTTTTTTGGCTGCAGTGGACAGACACCAAATGAGCTATGGCTTGAACAGAAAGAGGGAATTATTGCTCCCACATGTGGGATGTTCAGGGTTTCAGATGGCATCAGGGTTCAAGTGCTCACATGAGCATTGAGGCCGGTCTGTCTTTCCAGCTCTAGGACAGACTCTCCAACTGTGAGCAAAGTAGCCCTGGGCCCATCCCTTCCAGACTCACATCCTTTTATTTTAGCAATTCCAGGAGAAATAGTCCGCTATTCCAAGAGCTTGTCCATGAAAGTACTGGAGGACCTTGGATGATGAACCTGGGTCACTTGCCTACCCCTGAATGTGACTCTGGGATTTGTAGTGGGCAAGGCTAGGTCACATCTCCTTCCCTGTGCTTGGGTGAGTGCCCCAACTAACCCAAAGGGAACAGGCAGGCTCTTCTTAGAAAAGAGGGAGTTCTATTACCAGGGTAATGAGGAAGGGGCACAGGACAACAACAGCAAGTTTTTCACTTCACAGCTGAGGAAAACAGGTAATACGATAGTTTGATAAGTAAACATGGAAGCTCTGGAGTGCCACCCAGCTGGGTTCATGCCTTGGTGAAATTAGCAGCATGTTCTTCTTTCAAGGCTTTGACTCCTCATCTGTAAAATGGGCATAAGGGAAGAAAAAGACTGACAAAAAAAAACGTGGATGGTTGGTACAGTGCTGGTGAGGGAGCTGAGTTCTGAATGAGTTAATAAAAAGTCCCTTAAAAGGCCTGGTCATAGGGTGCCTTCAGTAAAAAAGACAATACAATTAATGATCAAGAAACCATAAGATTACATGCTAAAACGTGATCCTATCTTCTGACTGCTGAGCTTTCCTTCCCACCAGGGAGGCAGGCAGAGGGTACACACACTGATTTTCCTTTCCTGTGTGTTGCAGAGTGAGGCGGCATGGATGCCATCAGCCAATCCCCCATGGAAGCTGTGCTTCCCAAGCACATCCTGGATATCTGGACCATTGTCCTCATCATCCTGGCCACCATCGTCATCATGACCTCCTTGTTGCTGTGTCCAGCCACTGCCGTCATCCTCTACCGCATGTGGACTCATCCAGTGCTCAGTGGGGCTGTTTGAGAGCCACCCAAAGCCCTGGTGGGGAAGAGGATGCAAGTCCCTTGCCCCAGCCTGTTCTCAGCAAGACAGTGGGAAGGACTTGGGAGGTTGCATTCTGGTCTTGGTTCTCCACTGGCCAGCTGTGTGGTCTGGGTGGAGGGACCTACCTCTGTGAGTTCCGGGTTCATTGGCTTTCAACCAGGGATCATAATCCCTGCCCCCATTACCTCATAGGATTATGAGAACCAAGTGACTTAGTGGGGGTGAAAGCTGTTTGAGAACAGTGAAGCCACCACAGATGTCCAGGGGTCACACCAAGAGCTGAGAAGCTTTGAAGAAGCAAAAAGCCTAAAAGCTGGTGATGGCCTTCAAGGTGGTGAGGGAGACACTGGGGACACGGCAGCCTTTTCCTGTGCCCCTCAAACCAAGCAAAGGACACCCTGCCCCCTGCCCCAGGGCCTAAAAACACACTGGCTCAGCATTGGTTTCTTTGAAGCATCACTCCCTTAAATTTTCTCCCTTGTCAATGAGGGCAGGAGCTGAACATGAGGGCAGGGAGAAGGCAGTTGAATCAAACTGTCCAGAATCTTTTCTGTACCTGAGGTTTTGCCCCTGTATACTCTGGAGGAAGGCTCTGCCATTGTTTGGCAATGCCCAGGGAATTAGGGTTATGGGTCTCTTTCTGCAGGGCACTCTTGTATCTCTATAGCTTTGCCACTCAGGCAATGTTGGAAAATGCAGGGTGTCTAATACCCTGCTCAACTTTCAGGATCTCTAACCCCTGTCCCCCATGTGTCCCACACTGGAGATGCTATTTCCCTCTGTCCTGACTCCTGCTGTCATTAGCTCCACATGTATCCCTTTCACTCCCTCCCACCAGCACTGCAGTCAAAGCCAAGGTACTGATATTTTAAGAGACATTCTCAAGACTTTTGGAACCAACTCAAACCAATGATAATTATTGTAGATGCCATTATTATACTTATATTGAGATTAAAAATTATCTCATATTTTAATATTTAAAATTATTTATATAGACAACCACTCAAGCTGTTTGATTCCCATCAGGAGCATCCTGAGATTTATTAAAATATGCAACAAGATAACAGATATTAGGATATTATTGTGTAAAAATGATGCTTTTACTTTGTTCTTATTTCATTGACATACAACCAATTTCCAAAAAAAGTGCTAGAATGACCTTGTCTGATGTCTTTCTTTCAAGAGCACCTACTGAAGTCAGAACTCAGATAAAAGGATTCCACTGAGTTTATGGGCCTTAGTGACTATTTGAATGGAGGAACAGACGGGGAAACAGGAGAATCACATTAACTTCCAGGATTCTAACTTCAGCTGATAAAGTTATATAGTTTATACAAACACATAATGCCAGGGGTAAAACTGATTTGGGATGTAAGATAATGGATTTAGGACTGGACATGTTGAGAATAAGGTGCCTGTTATGCAGGTGGATACTTTCAGGATGTAGTGAAAATCTTGCTTTATTCCTTAGGGAAGATTTTGTGGTTGGAGTAATGGTTTGGGGGATTGTCATATATGGTAGGCATGCTACTCCAGGGGACAGGATCAGAGTATGCAGGCCAAGAGGAGTGAGGTGCTAAGTTCAGAATGCAGAGAATGCTAAATAGAAGTGGGAAGGGAGTCAAGAAAATAATTATATTAGTCAGATTTTTGTCATGGTGTCCAAAATACCCAACAAGGCAACTTAGATGAGGAAAAATTTATCTTGTTTTATTTTATTTTTTGGTACTTGTGATTGAACCCAGGGGTGCTGAACCACTGAGCCACATCCCCAGGCTATTTTTATTTTTATTTTGAGACAGTGTCTCACTAAGTTGCTGAGGCTGGCTTTGAACTGTGATCCTCCTGCCTCAGCCTCCAAGCTGCTGGGATTACAGGGGTGTGCCACCATGCCCAGCAGGAAAAGCTTATTTTCAGCTTACTCCTCCCAGGAAGAGCATGATAGTGAAGAGGGGGGACAGGGGAAGAGCTAGACAGAATTTCTATCTTAGTCCATTTGACCTGCCAATAAAATATAGTAGACTGGATGATACATAAACAATACAAATTTATTGTTTACAGTTCTGAAGGCTATGATGTCCAAGTTCAGGACACTAGCAGACCCAGTGTCCACTGAGGGTCCTTCCCTCAAAGATGGAGCCTTCTATGTGTCCTCACATGGTGGCAGGGTACTAAAAGCCCCCTCAAGCTTTTACAAGGGCACCAATGTCATTCATGAGAGCAGAGTCCTCATGACCTAATCATCTACCACAGGCCCCACCCTTCAGGATCATCACTTTGAAGGTTCCTGTTCAACACATGAATTTTGAGGGAGACACAAACATTCAGACCACAGCAGGGGATACATATTCGTGATGAGATTCTGATTGGTTTGCTCAGCATTTCTTCCAACTCCTGGTGTGCATTTCTGGACGTCACAGGCTGGAAAGTGAAAAACTACATCAAGGGTGAAAGCCTGCACTGCCCTCACAGCCCTGGTGCTAGAGATTCCAGTGTGCTTGGAGGCTCTGCTGTTCAGACGCCTGCCTGCCTGCCAGATTTATTGTGGAGCTCAGTGGAGCTGGGAGGGACGTGATGAGGTGTGAGGCATTCACAGTGCTGGTGGGACTCCAGCTGCATCAGCATGGCTCTGAGGACAGGCTGGTAGCTTTCTGATACCTGGATGGCAGATGAGGTGGGATAGTCCTGCTGCCCACAGCTGAGACTGTAGCTTTCTTATTCCCTAAGCTCCCAATGGTCACACTGAAATTGCAGTTCTCCGAAATGGCCAGCTTCACAGTGCTGATCTGGGAGGAATTCTGGTAACCCTTGCCTTCTCTGTTCCTCCAATTCTCTCAATGAATTTAAGCACATATTTTCCTATGCTGAAACCTTTTTGCTTAAGCTTGCTAGAGTACATCTTGATGGGTCCAGATGGAAAAATCTATTAATTATTGACCTAGCTGTTTCACTTCCAAGTCCAGCATGTGGTCTGGCATCAGTGAGGAGAGAACTGTGTTAATGAGGGGCAGATGGGTTTGAACAAATAGAGATGTCAAGAGGCTTGTGGTCTCAGGGCCTCAGGGAGGTCCATGAGTGGTGATGGAATGAGAAATTTGCCAACGGTTGCCGGAACTAAGCCTTTAAGAACAAGGAGACAGTTATTTTTGGATCATCCAAAAGTGTGAAACAATATATAGAATCTTTTGACAAAAAGAGTGAGATTCAATTTTTAAATCTAAATTGTATTGGCTGCCTGGAAGTATAGTTTGATAATAAATAACAAAGTTTTTAAATTTTTTTATCTATTTAAATTAGTGCTTGGGACTGGTGTTGTGGCTCAGTGGTAGAGCACTTGCCTGGCATGTGTGAGGTACTGGGTTCAATCCCCAAGGCCATATATAAAATAATTAATTGATTAATTAACTAAAGTTATTGTGTTCATCAAAATCAAAAAAAAGAAAAGAAATGAGTGCTTACTTTTTGTTTTTTTAGCTGGGAGGAATTATTTAGTTTCCCATGAAAGTTGAAAACATTGTGTGCTCATAGGTAAGAACATGAACATATTTTTATACTCCCAATACATGTTAATTCATGTTTTCACATCTGACATCCTTTCTGAAGTTAGTAGAAGTAAGTAACATTTGGGGAAGACAAGGGTGTTTGGTAAATCAGACAGAATACTATTTCTTGCTATAACTAAAGAGCCTTACTATGCTTTTCTCTAAACATCCTCCACCCCAACCTCAACTGCAGAAATAACCAACTCATTGGAGAATTACTATAAGGAAAAGAAGAAACAATTGAAATATTTATATGGTCATAGAGGAGTGGTCTGGTAAACATGGTACAAATAATGGAATAACACAATATAAAAATTAAAGCACTGTTCGGTATAAATGGTAAGCAACTGAAAGTAAATAGAAAATTGTACCTTTTCATTGGCACCTCCAGAATTTTTATATGATGGGCTAAGAAGAGATAATTTGTTTGGAGAATGTATCATTAAACCATAATTTTTCATAGCCCTTTATGTAAGACTGGGAAAAGGTCAACTGCTCCTGTGAAATATCTTGGGAGAGCTGCAAATATAGATAATATTTTGAGCATATATGCATCCAAACAAGGATGTGAAAGAGCATAGAGGAGATCTAGAGAATTTTATTTGGGTCAGAGAGATTATATTGGCCACCACTGTTCAATTCTTCATTAGTTATAATTATCTGTAATAAAATTATAAATGCACATGTTATCACTAATGAATTTATATCTGTGACATTTGTTCCACTTCTAGTTATAGGGTAATTTCTGCTCTTGTATTTCAAATTTAGACTGTCTTCATCAGATTTCTTTCTTCACCTAAACATGTGTTTTTGAAAATCTACATTCCAAGGGTATGTCTTTATACATACCTACCTAGTCCAAAGGAATGAAGTTTGAGAGATTGTCTGTGTGTATATGTGTGTTCACACCTGCTTGTGTTAAGGAATAACATGACCCATCTGAAACAGACATGCAGCTTTTCACATTATTTGCTTAACCATCCACTTACTGATAAACATGTTTGGCAATACACAATTTTGTAGTGTCAACTACAAAACACACAGTATATCTTACCATTTTTTCTTTCTAGAAATACAATTTAGTATTAATTGTCACTACTGTGTTATGATTTTTTCCCATAGCTTTATTGAGGTAAAATTGAAATACAACAAAATGTATGTATTTGAAGTATGGAGTTTGATCAGTTTGACATATTTTGACAGTGTGAATCCAATGCAATCAAAATAAAAAGCATTTTCCATTATTTTTAGTTGAAACCATTTGTTTCCTCTGTGATTTATTACATTAGAAATCAATTACCTTCAGATATGTAGAACCACATCTCAGCTACTTCCAAATTAAATGGCACACTTATAAATATCTCACAGATCAAAGAAGAGAACACAAGAAAAGTAAATAAAAAGTGGTTTTAGCTAAGTTCTAATAAAAGCTTAAAA